AAACAAAAACAAAAAACAGTTTTTTAGCAAGAGTGTTAGTTTATCATATAATATAGTCATTTTTCCCTCAGAAAGATTCGTTTGATAATATTTGCAACATTAAGTTCTTTAAAACAAAAGTATAATTTCCAAACTACATAAATAACTATGATAACAATGAAGTGTGAAAACTTGAGTCTGAAAATATGGTGGTTTGTTCTGTTTTCACGTAAGAACGCTGTAAACTTTTCAAATCAAATAAAACTGTAACAACACAGGTAAGGTTTTGTTTTCTCATGACATTGTTCAGTATTTCATTTAGAGGAGTGTTAGTGAAACTAAAATTTAAGCTATTAAATAGTTAGTGTGGCTTACATCCGAAAAATTATGTTTTGTTTGAGTTTTTTATTTGTATTTACTAAAATCAAATTATCAGCAAGAAGAAAACAAAATATTATTTAGTTATATTTAAAAACAAAATTAAATCACTAGATGAAGAGTTAAGTTGTACAGATAAAAAAATGCAACTAATTATGTTAATTTTTCCCTTGGTTAGTAGGTTTAAGTTTCTTGGTTGTGACAGAAGCAACAAGCTATACACGTGACTTGTAGTACAGTAATGTAAGATACAAGTATATGGTTCATGTTGGTTTCTTTTCTTAGTTCGCAAGTTTAAATTTATTGCTTGTAACAGGAACAATAAACTTTACACGTGATTAGTAGTACGATAATAAAAAAAATATATCAACAGAATTGTGAGTAAAAAAAACATATTGGAGTGGGAATAGCAATTAAGATTTTATAATAATTTTATTCAAAATACAAAAAATAAATGTTTTTTTTCCCTGTCACATAGCACTTGTATAACAAGTAGAACTAGGGCTGTTTGAAGTTTTAAAAGCTCCTTTAAATAACCGTCAATTTTTTCCTAGCCTTGCTATGATTTCACTAATGTTAGATATATGTCATAAAAATTTCAAAAAACGAAAGTGCCGAGTATAACCTCTCTCATATCCGCCCCTCTCGGTCCCCCAGCCTCCCGCTGCTCCAGGCCTAGTTGAGAGAGACCTTAACAAGTGGTTCTTCTCTATGAGATGGTGACAGCTGTCGATGGCAATTGAGCCTTTGACAAACGGTTACACTAAGAAACATGGAGCGATGTAATGAAGAGTAATTTAAAAGTATGACGACCTATTGCTCTTATTTTCAACTCAACCTTGAGATTTGAAATAAACTTAAGGAAAGATTCTTTACACATAAATTAAATCAGTACTATTTCAGTACTTTGAACCAATATATATATATATTATACCACTGAGTGTATGACTAGACATTGCAAGTATGAACTACTCTTTAATATAAATTATATTTTAGAAAATCTTGTTACAAACATTAAATATATATAGATATATATATTATTTTACCCAATATAAGGGAAGTTTTAACTTTCAACACACCGTTGTGTAATGTTCCTCAGTTATTTTAGAGTGTATTTACTATAAATCGTTACTTGTCTTCATGATTCTTTTCTATTTTAGGCTTATCTACTTTATTAAGTGTTGGCGTTGACAGTGTACTTTCTAATGGTACATAACAAATGTTTTTGAAGTATACAGTCTGTAACTCAATCTCCTTTATCACTTTAGTATTGAAGCCACTATACCTTCTGTAGTGTAGTATAAAAACAGCTTGTAACTCAATCTCCTTCATCACTTCAGTATTGAAGTCACTATACCTTGTGTAGTTTCGTATAAAAACAGTTTGTAACCCAATTTCCTTCATCACTTCAGTAGTGAAGCTACTATACCTTGAGTAGTGTAATATAAAAACAGCTTGTAACCCAATCTCCTTTACCACTTTAGTATTGAAGCCGCTATACCTTGTGTAGTGTAGTATAAAAACAGCTTGTAACCCAAGTTCCTTCATCATTTCGGTATTGAAGCCACTATATCTTGTGTAGTGTAGTATAAAAACAGTTTGTAACTCAATTTCTTTAATAACTTCAGTATTGGAGCCACTATACCTCGTGTAGTATAAAAACAGTTTGTAACCCAATTTCCTTCATCACTTCAGTTTTGAAGCCACGATACCTTGTGTAATGTAGTATAAAAACAGCTTGTAACCCAATTTCCTTCATCACTTCAGTATTGAAGACACTATACCTATTGTAGTGTAGTATAAAACAGCTTGTACTCCAATTTCCTACATTACTTCAGTATTGAAGCCACTATACCTCGTGTAGTGTGGTATAATAAAAGCTTGTAACCCAATCTCCTTTACCACTTTAGTATTGAAGCCACTATATCTTGTGTAGTGTAGCATAAAAACAGCTTGTAACCCAATCTTCTTCATCACTTTAGTATTGAAGCTATTATATTTTGTGTGGTATAGTATGGTATAAAACAGTTTGTAACCTAGTTTGAATATTATAAAGCAAGTGCACTACATAAACTTCATCACCCCTGTTTCAGGTAGGATTGTCAACATGAGCAATTATTTTTTAAAGGATGGGATGTAAAAATATCTAAACATTCTACTTATAAACTTCGTGCGTCAGTACTTGAAAAATATTTAAAACTTTTTTATTAGCATGCTTTCAATCAATTTAGTGTGTCCAGCTGTGCCAGCTGGCTGACTTCCCAATTCTAGACTTAGGTTTTTGTTAAGACTTTTAAGAGCAGAGAAAGTCGTAAATATTTCACGTATATCCTCATAAAGTAAACTAAGCAACAAAAATACATGAAAAGTAAGGCAGAAATTCTCCTCAACAAGGTGCAGCTGTATTAAGGATTGTGTGTTAAAGATCAGTAGGAATAATAGAAAAATATATATTTAAATCGATTCCGGTTTACCACTGAAGTAACCAGACCAGTACCAGTGAAACCTAGTAGGATAACTGGTTTAGCATCCGAACGGTTTCAGATAAAGGCACCTAGGACTAGTACCCATTCACTAAAATAAACATTTTATTCAATGATAGCTTTAAGTAATATTTCTAAGTCTACAAAAAAAGGGTATTTTGTATATGTATTATATGCACTTTGATATATATTATGATGGACATTTATCGCTCTAGAATTTATGAATATATTTAAAATAATATTGGTACACATAAATATATATATATAAATGCATTATTTATCCTGTTGTGTAAAGTACATCCAATAACACTCGCTAATCTAATTCCTACACTAAAAACATGAATAAAACAACTTTAACGGTATTGTATTCCTCCAACATTACGGATTCCTTGCTTAGTTATTCTCATCGGAAGTAGACTTTGTGAAAACTTACTCCATCATCTTGTATTTTGGGGAGATTTAATGGGTATAATAGTTTCTATATAGTATGAAAGTATACATATATTAAACATAAAAACTTGAAGGTAAAGTTTTAAAAATAGCTATTTTTAATAATTGGAAATAGGGTCGACTGGTTTTTGCATCTTATTTCTAAGGCGTAATAAGCTTATTCCTATGGGGTTCTTGTATCTTATTTCTAAGGCGTAATAAGCTTAATCCTATGGGGTTCTTTATAGAAGGTCTTATCTCGAACGAGCTTTGACAGTTCCAATGTCGTCCGAGGCACTTAAAAAATCTGTGTTATACAACAAGGTAAAAGTAGATACTCGCCCGGTAGGTCCGTACCCACTAGCTATGTTAGATTGTAATCGCTGATTTCACAGATAAAGATGATTTAGAAAATTTATCACAATTTCCGATTGGTGAGTGTTAAGGACAATCTTGAACACGCTACCTGGGATCTCTTTCAATAAAATCACTATCCAAGTTGATGTTTTTTGTTTTTTTTCTAACTTAAGGATATGAACACGTAGTGAATTCTGTAGAATACCCTTTTAAATGTAATTACACAGCCATAAACTTACTGAAAGGAGATTTGGAAATGAACTATTCCTTCAGTGCTACGCTATATCATAGCATTTAGAGTTACATTTTAAAGCTATCGCCAATGAATATCTTAGTAAGAACTGGTTCTCAAAACTCGTCAGGTTAAGTGTTTGACAAAACAAAGAATATTTAAAACTCATGAAGCTAGGTGTTTAATAAAACTAAGCATATTAAAAACTCGTGACGTTAAGTGCTTAATAAAACTAAACATATTAAAAACTCGTGAGGTTAAGTGCTTAATAAAACTAAGAACATTTAAAACTCATGAGGTTTAGTGCTTAATAAAACTAAGGATAATTAATACTTATTAGGTTAAGAGCTTAATACAACTAAGGATATTTAAAACTCATGAAGTTAGGTGTTTAATAAAACTAAGCATATTAAAAACTCGTGAGGTTAAGTACTTAATAAAACTAAGAACATTTAAAACTCATGAGATTAAGTGCTTAATAACACTAAGGATAATTAATACTTATTAGGTTAAGAGCTTAATACAACTGAGGATATTTAAAACTCATGAGGTTAAGTGTTTGACAAAACAAAGGATATTTAAAACTCGTGAGGTTAAGTACTCGATAAACTAAGGATATTTAAGCGTCATCTTCGTATAAACGTTAGAAGAGCAGTTGGGGCAGTCGGCTTTAGGTTTTTCTTGCAATACTTATCTTTTATGGGGCAATTGACTGAAAAACGCTGGTTTTGGGTAATTGAACGCGAGTCGTCTTGCACTCAGTGTCTTAAAACGCGTCTGCATGTACGTTATGCACAGTTAGAAAACGCAGTTAGCACAGTACTCTAATAAAATGTGATAACAACTGGATGGATTTTGACATATTGTCTGTCCTGCTTTTTAATATACTTTATTTTAACCGATCATATAATATATATATATATATATATATATTCATATAGTTTGTTATTTAACTTACGCTTTTTATAGTCCGAGCTACACAAGGCCCTTAGTTATATCTTTTAGTAAATGTGTTATACATCCGCTATTTTAGAAGGGAAGAGATGGGAAGAAAAACGATCGACTTTCAAGTTTGGTACACCAGTGGAGAAGCCTTTTTTTTGTTTGTTTGCTAAAATCTTTTAAAATCGAAAATCACCAACCTGCCATCGCCATCCAAGGGTAGAAAGCGTTGGCGTGGGCCTGAGACATGGCACTGGTGTTTTGGTAGCAAGCTGTCCATGCGTCTGACACACGCGGAGAAGCCCCGCTCTCTCCCGGGAAAGGACGTACGGCGTCGTTGCTCATTGCTGCAGCTCGGACACCGGTCAGTGCTCCCGTCGACCAGGTGGACATGTCTTTTACAGCCACGTTGAACCCATTTTGTTCCTTCACCAAACACTCGGGCTTGAAAGCTACGGTTGGGTCTGGACTCACTGCTGCATACAATTTACACGAAGATGCTGAAGTTCCAGTTGTGTCGACGAAGCCGGGATCGTGCGCTGCCCGGGCGGCGGCGCTAGGTTGCGGGTACGGCGGAACAAGGAGTCCTTGCGGGAAACGGTAGGGTTGTTCCGCTGCACCTTGACTATTGTAAAAGCCAGACTGATCAAAGTACGAGTTCATCATCTCTGACCACCACCCTCGCTCCTTTCGACATCAAATTTTGAATTTGTATTTTTTACTCAAGTAAAGGTGTTGGATTAAATTTGGCCATGGCTGCTATGTATAGACATCGCAAGGACTTCCCGGAAGGGAACAACTGACCAATCAGAGTTCTTCATGTGCGGCGGCGAACTCTTTACTCGTTCGTGTATCCTACCGCCAATAGACTCGTGAGCTCGCGACTTCGTCTGAGGTTGTATCCTGTTATTAAAATAACTATTTGAGTTCGTACATTTTTTTTCGACAACTTGTCATAATTATAAATAATTGAGAGAAACCAGTGATTCCATTACAAGGCTTACCGACATGTTCAACCTACAAATATAGTGAAAGAAATTCATTCTCTGTCATTTAGGAGTGTCTTTAATAGGATTAGATTATGCACGCGTGCTCTATGGCTGTATGGAAGTCGTGAGATGTCACTGTCAGTTTGCAAGTTATATTTAATCTAAAGCTGAAGAAGAATGTATCTAAAAAAACACGTATACAGGCTGTGCACCACTCTCAAAGAAACAGTTTCTTTAACGTATTGGGGTTTTTTATTAGGCCATTACTTTCGACAATGTTTAAATGTTGTCAAGAGAAAAAAAATAAAACGCGGAAAGAAAAACAAACATCGGTTATCGCAAGGAAAAGACAAGAACCTGCTCTACATGAAATTCTGAGAACCTCAAACTTGGTGTAAGATATGCAAGTCATGTTTGCAGACCAAAGTAAAAGTATGACGGCTTTGAATCGGTAGTTGTTTAAGTCATATAAAGTTTTATTTGTTCAAATATAAAGCTTATCCAACAGATCGACGTATTTAGTATCTGAAGAAAAATTACGAGGTCCTAAATGCCTATAATGAGTCATACTACCATACAGTAAAACCGTTAGGTAATTTGAAACAAATTGAGCAGGATTTATCTCGTCGTAATTTTACGATAACTGCTACGGTTAGCCTACTAGGTACGGACCGAGTTGGCCCACATAGAGGGATTCTAAAATATGTAACCTTCTTCTATGGTAGTGTACTATGATGCTTTCCTGCGTAAATGGCGTCATAATCACGACTCTGGAGAAAGAGCCCGACGAGGGGGCCAAAGCCGTATACTTGTTTTTGCATCTTTCATTGGCAGTGGTCACAACACGTCATTTGTAAATCTACCAATAAACTTCTGTGGTTCCTACCTTTTATGCTTACTTACCGAAAGTGCAAAGATAAATCAATGTATAATCGAAAACCGTCAAGTAATTTCTGGAACGTGTACTAAACGACTGATTTAAAAATATGAAGTTACTCCAGTACCCTTAAAATTGAAATTGTTTGTCAGAAGTGGTTGTCAAGCGTGTAATGCTTTCACGACAAACCTATTAAAAATTACGGTTTAAAAGCCGAAAGAGGGCGAAATATTGGAAAATAACTCATCTGCAGGTAACTTGTTTTCATGATAAAATTATTACATTACAAGAGAAGACTCCATGTAAAGATACTTTAATATATATATATATATATATATAAACTATTATTAGATGGGAAAACTCATTAGTCATTTAACCGTCTTCACAATTATTGAACAAAAAAAAAGATCGTTTTTCTTTTATATTATTTGAAAAAAAATTACACGTCATAAAACACGTTATGTGTACCACTTTTGGACATGAGATGGGACCAAGATACTCTTTGTATCGATATTTTTACTCCATTTTTAACAAGCTTCTAATTCCGATGATGAATTAATTTTTTTTACACCTACACATCAGAAGTACTTTTCCAATAGTATAAAAAGTCGGTTAAAAAACTGATATTTTATTCATTGATGGAAAGATAATTAAATTATTATTACGTTCCTCGAGGAAGGTTTAACAACTTTTAATACATTTTCCTTTGGCATTTACAAACTAATCACGAAACAGACTGGCAGACGGGTGAATAGATAAACACATAAGTGTGAATAAAGGGGAAATTTTCAAAATAATTCATTAATTTGAACTCTATAACTCACAATTGAATTAAACTGCAGTATGTCATTGTGACACTACGAAGATGCACGCATCATTCAAGTCGTAACCGCAAGCTACACGTTATTTTTTACCCAAAGCTGTATTTTGCCCCCACCTATACATTTATAACATCATGTATCCTGAAAGTGTTATTTGTTACGTAATATGTTTGAATGCTCGAAATTTGAGCGCGAAATCCGTGTTTGAGGCATCATTTTTTCCCCCTCATTATTTATTTTTATTAACAAAAAAACAATCTCTAGTAGCAAGATTTTGTAGACACCTGGTGTCAGAACATTGAAGATTTATGTTATTGACCAAATGGTAATCCTATTGTAAGTGAACGTAATTTATAATGATATCTAATTATATGATCATATTCTTTTTCCACAAACACGTTACGCGAAACTAAAATAAGTTAATAGGTGAGATAAAATTTCAAGGAATAAATCATTCCTCAGACTGTCAAGACAAAAGTAGAAAAAAACAAATTCAAATCTACAGTGATACGACTTGTCATGTTAATGAGATATCCGGATAAGCAAAGTTTTATAGCCTTGCATGTTAAATAAATCTAGACTAGCCGCTACATAAAAATACCTAATTAGCTACTACCAAACCACTCAGCTTGTTACAGAAATAACTGAAAAGGCATTTATATTACGATATATAATCACAATTTGCAAGACTATTGAATGCTTTGTTTACTTCTCAACTTTAACCGAAGATATTTAGCCATGATCAAACTTACTTATATCCTTATGTACTGTATCTCTTTTTTTAGCCATATCGCAAGTAATAAATTGGAAGAACTGATTCGACACAATTTTCGTTTCATCCTCACGTCTAGTTAATCCGTAATGCTTTGTATCTCTCACATATAATGCCGCCATTTTGTACGTGGTCACCCATAATGAGCCATATTACCTGTCATGTCAAGTCCTGCAATGAAAAGAACGATACGTGTGCTTCATAGAGCAGGAACGTTAAAGCTGATAGACGGTGAACATCGTATTTCATTCCAAACTGCTAAGTTTAATCAATTGCACTCAGGGGTTGGAGTTTTAGAGTAGAATCAGTGTGTGTGTGTGTCAAATGTGAATCGTGTAATCATGTTGCATTACTCGTAGGAACTTCGAGTTCTATATAAAACAAAAGCATAGGTCCTCCTAATTAATCAACGTCTTGCTCATTTTGTTCCCGTTTTATCTAATACCATCTCTGGCTTTTCTTATAACTTTTGATAATAACAACGAAGAAAAACTTTATGTGCAAGTCATTCCAGAGGAAGTCATAATCCAGTTACTTGCCTATAACCGGGTAATATAGTTTCGATTATATAACATGTTTCAACTACAAACCTATAACATTATATAACTCTTTGCAACTGAATATATATATATATATATATTGATCTTCAAGGGCCTTGAGGTACAGCCTTCCTCCCTGGTGGCTGAACGGTAAGTCTGAGGGCTTAACACGATAAAAATCAGGGCACGGCACGGATAGCCCATTGTGTAGCCTTCTGCTTATCAACAAACAAATATGTTCATTAATAGCTTTCGATTACGGTTGTAATTTTATCACAGAAACACAACAAATAGCCTGTTTTATAACCAAGGCTCAAAAACGGAAACTCGACCTGACAGGAATCTCATTGTCTTGTCTGTTATAAACTGGTAACTTTCAATCTTAATCTTAGCTCATGCATAGAGTGACGGATAAAAGACAAATGTATACACAAACAAATTGGTAACTAATAATTGTCGTTAGCTTACTTGCAAGGTTCAGCTCTATAAACTTAATATATAAAAAATATTCATGTGCTTAATTAGGTTAAAGAGGGGGGTGATATTTCTTTAGGCTTGAATAAACAGTCATATTAATCAAATGTTTGGATTCAAATTACATATTATAGCAACTAAGGTTTGTTTAGGAACAAATTTATATGGATGTTTCTTTTTTATTATTGGGACATGATAAATGTTTATATCTAATCACTAGGTGTATGAATGGTTTTTTTCAATAGCTTTAATTGACTTGTTTGTTTTTAAACGCAACGCTACAAAATAGACTCTGCGCTGTGCCCACCGAGAGCATCAAACACCGATATTTAGCGTTGTAAGCCCTCAAACTTACCGCTGAGCCACCGAAGGGCAAATATGAATTGAAATATAAATGTATTATCATAAAAGTTAGGAATATGAATATACAAGATCAAAATATATACACATATATATATACAGTGTTTTTGAGTGTATTCATATTTTTTATTGCAAGTAATCTTTTAAAATTAACCTAATTTTGCTTTTAATTTTCAAATGATTTTAGTATGGCTTCAAAGTGAAATAAGTAAAGTAGAATACAGTTTGTTTTGCTTTTGTAATCTTATTGTTTTTGTTTGTAATTAAGCACAAAGCTACACAATGGGCTATCTGTACTCTGCCCACCACGGGTATCGGAACCCGGATTCTAGCGTTGTAAGTTCGCAGACATACCGCTGTGCCAATGGGGGCTATTCTTATTATAAAAGCCCTCCAGAAAGCAGAGGTAAATTTACACACTTATAACGCTAACATCCGGGGTTGGATTCCCTGTGGTTGACAAATCGCTGGTAGCCTATTGTGTTGCGTTATGCTAAAAGAAACAAGTATTGAAAAATTCCATTTTAAAAAAAGTGATGTTTCTTTGAAAGTCAGAAATGTATATATATATTTTTTGTGTTTATAATTAGCGCATGATAAGCTCATTAGATTTATGGTAATGATGTACGAAGCTTATTTGCTCTCCTGAAACAGGATTGGCCCCAAGGCCAAAGGATTATAGCATTCAAATTACTACTTTCAAAAGTTGTTTATCATGCTTAACGTATTTCCATTGTTGTAGCCTAAAGCACGTATGTTCGTTTATTTTCTCTCCTACAGTTTGGGTGGTAAAGAACACAGTCATTGGCATTTTACGTAAAAATGGGTTGTAGCACAAAGTTACTTCATAATGAATTATTTTATTTAGCAAACTATTTCAATACTTATATTATATTATATATTAATGTATTTGGGTTCTATTAACTTCGACATTGGAATTAAAAGATGCCTACTCAGAAACAGCTTCATAATGAAATTA